CTGGCCCGTGAGGGCTGACGGCTGAGCATGATCTCTTGGGAGTGGGTGCTCCGCAGGGTCTGGGTGGAGTAAGGCTGACTATTGGCAAGACGAGTATCCAAATCCACTGAGAAACGTTGCTGCAAAGAGATCACATAAATCTCCATCAGAGTACAAGGGAATGTGACAACATTTGTACTCTTATATAACATTATATACTTGTATAAAATTTATAGAGGGTGTAATTTTGGGCTGAAAACATGTTTTTAAAGCAAGATATATCATCCCACTTTCAAATTACTGATAAATGCCACAAATATTAACTCTTAAGAGTTATTTTTTACAACATTTGTATGATATTTCAGAATGCAAACTCGTATTTTGCAACACTCAAAGGCACCGCTGTTGATCTATTCCCTACAACTACAGGCTGTATACAGCTGTCAAGCTCAATAAGCGACCCTCTTTCAGAAACTTTCTGGACATTTTATATACAAAACTAATGAGGGACCAGACATCAACACACATGCTGCTAGGACACTCAGTAAAGGGTTCAAGTATCTAGTTGATCAGCACCCCCTGCCAATGCAGATTGCTAGACTGTCAACACTGTCAACACTGTGACAGCAGATTAACAGCACACCTCACACTGGTCTGCCTGCAGCCAATTTCACAAGCTCAGTGTAATTTTGCGCCATGTGTTTTGCGTCATAAATGTGTGGTGTAGCTGTACTTATGATTGATTTTACAACAAGTTGCTTGGCTATGGAATATTTTATCTTTATGAACTCCTGTGATGAGGATAATCACAGCTTCTACGACAGTTGGTATTTTTTTTGCACTTTTACATTGAACAGTCACACTAGCTCCGCCCGCCTTTGTGAAGATTTCATCTTTTCTCCATCAGAACCATGCAGAAAATCTCCAAGTTCTCTCATAGCCAAACAATTTTGTTCATTACACCCCCCTCCTACCTACAAGCAAGTCTGTTCTGAGCCATCGGAGTCATTGCGCCAGTGTCTATTTCCTTAGCATGAAACCACTCCCAAGGATATTTCTATCCCCCTGCCCCCGATGGGATACCAGTCCATTACAGGTTGTTCCCTAGCTAATGCCAGCACCCATTTGGAGGTAGGCAAGTAAAACTGCTAATAACAATATGGCAAACCTTGGCAGAGGCAACCCAAGGGGGGTACGACTATTAATACTGGGACGCCAATATCAGCACCTACGTGTGCTATCCTATAAAACATTAATTAGCCCTATGCACAGGTGAGCAGTTACCCTAAGTGCAAGGGGGGGTAATTAACCCTAACAGTCCTAAATCCTCCAATTTCAATACGATTTACATACACCCTTGGGGGTTAGGGTTAATGAATGGCAGACTAGGCCTAGGAGCAGTTCATTTGATTGAAGGTTTATCAAATGTATAATCCTATTTTATGTGTAGTTAATCAATTTATTGGCCAGATATATTCAGTATTTTAAATAATGTGAACATGTTTGGTTACATTGTAAAGAATGACAGCATTGACATAAATGTTTCATCATCAAAAAGTTTACCACCACCGAGGGCAGAGTTTACTGGTAGCAATCAAATACAAGAAAACCTAAAGAAACCTCGCAGTGACACAGGTTTTCCAAGGAATACCCCACCACTAGCAGCAATAATGTTCACATAATCTATGTGAAGATTCACATAAGTTAGGATTGATTAAACCATGGGTTAATCATCCTTAAGGGAACCAGAGCACTCCAGGTAACCCTCAATGACTACCAGATCACAACCCGGCTATCACCCCACCTATGATGCTCATAGATGGCTAACTATCCACAACAATCCCTGTACCACTAGCCCTCAGCCAAAGGTTCACAACCTATGCTCTATTCCTAATCTAATCTGAACCCAAATAAACAGTTCACTACAACTATTCCACCTACCAGTTGATACAGTGAGCCATTACTCAGTGAGCTCCACATAACTTCCAGCAATCCTACCGCTATATGACCTTCCGTAATGTGAAGTACGGTAACTGTGCGCGCCCTAAAATACACCGCAAGCACCAGGACCTAGTGCATACTAGAGTACATGTAGATGTACACACGGTCAATGCATGCATTAATAATTAATAAGCTAGACTGACATCTATGCCTACCCCTGTTTCGTCACAATAAAAACAACAAATTTTATATTTCCTTAAGGTTACAAACTCGAAGACAACACAATAACAAGGATATAACAAGACACAATACAAAAATGAAACCACTGTGAGCTAGGCCTGGACTGTAGAACTCAGAGACAAATATAGATTTGTAAGACAAGTGGCAGTGAAGCAACCTTTTCAAGATGACAACACACTGCTAGAAGCTAGATTCCATCTCCTGACCCTCTTGCCAGAAGTCACATCAACCTTAACCACTAAGCCAGAAGTACTCCCAGTAAGGAAGTGTCTATTTCTTTATTTCTTGTATAGAAAGTCTTCACCAGCTATAAAGCAATGATGAGTCTTATGAACAGCAGTGGTAAAACAATGCATAAATTACACTACCTAAAATGACTGGGAACACCATAATTTGTTGCACAAGTCACAGACTTATGACAGTTTGTTGTGCAACCTACGCAGTAAACTCTGGCATGTGAAGAGTTGCGCTTCGGCGTTAAGTTTCATGAAATCAGCTGGTGATTCCACAACTGTGAATGAAGTCATCACAGATCCAAAACTTCCGTGCACTGGAGCTTCACAAACCAGCAACTTTTGTTACCACAAACATATAAATGACTGTTACAGTTACTCACGCAGTTACAATATGCAGTGTCATTGCCACCTGTGAGTTACATGTATCTTATGTGACAACAAGCATGCTCTCTGGCTCACAGAGGCACGAAAAGCTGTAGCCTTCAGCAATGCTGAAACATGCTTCATGATAACACTCTCCACGCAATTCATCTCTTAAATAAAACAGGAATTACAGTAAAACCTTGATAAGATAATCCTTGATAAGTCGAAAGTCTGCTTGTCTCAAAGTAATGCATTGTTCCTGAAAGAACAGACGTTTGTGTACATAAATACTTCCGTAAGCCGAATTATAAGCGGCCAAAATCCCACTTAAGTCGAAGTACAAACATGGGACCTCAAAACCACGTTCTGAGTCATCGCTGCTGAGTGCACATTGTCTTATCACTCTTGATCAATCAGCTTGCGCGGCTCGCATGCTGCACAGCATGCTTCATAAACCACGCCCGCACCGTAACTGGAACAAATCCCAGCTCTCGAGCTAGCATGATTGCTACTGCAAGACCCATGTGCAGATGAACCAATCACTGCCTATCACAATGGTCATGGGACTACAAAAAGTCATGTCATAAGAAAACCCATTTGAATGCAAACCCAAATTCGGCATGACACATCACAAGTACGTTGCAAACATGATCTGCGAAAAGACCAAATTTTTCCACACGAAGGTACACCTTAAACATGATGGATTATTTATTTATCGGTAAAAATGACCTTCTAGACATAACAACAATAAAAAATCTTACCAAATGATTATTGGCAAAAAAGGCTCCATGAGAATGAATAAAAGTGGAAAATAGCCACCAAAATGATGCTACCTTGGGGCGGGTTTGTAACGATTATGTCTCCACGGCAGTGAGATTTTCATTTACTGAAAGTCCGGATAACAAAGTTTTTATTCATTCCCTTGAATTTCAAGTTATCGAGGTTTCACTGTAATCAGTTCACGCCAGATGATGTGTAACCATTTAAACAGGCTATGGCATTTTCAGTACACAACAGCCGATGTGGTCTATATATTATCGTCTGCATGCTGAGATTTGTAAACACAGACAGGCTACAACTAGTCCATGGATGTTGAGCTTGTGCAGAGCTCTAGCTTAGTTGCCAGTGTGCCAATGCTGGGTGTTACAGCATGCAGCACTCCATGATACTGTCTCATAGTGCAATAGCAGTAACGATGCAGGAAGAAATGTCACACAAATACTAAACAAACGATGCAGCATTCCTCAGCATTTCAGGCTGAAAATAATACTCTCAAGGAAAAAGGTTGCAGTAAATAATACCACCTAAAACTGTTAAAATGTCAGGAAACTTTGCATTTTACTATCCCGGGCAGAACGACAGTCGCTAATTTAGGTACAAACAAACTGCCATCAATGGACAAAGAAAATGATCCATGATATTTTCCAGATACTTCAGCAGAACACGTAACAAGAAAATTGGTGGTTGAGCCTACCGGTGGGGGGCTGCTATCGTGATGGAGGAGATGCCAAGCATTGTCGTAGGTCTGTCGCCGCGTTTTGGTGATGTCAAAGCGATAGATCTTGCCATAGTTGGTGTGCGGTCGGAAGAGTGCCAGCAGCGCGCCCCAGCCGGTGTGGGAATGCTGCTCTCGCACCACCCGCTCAACGTTCTCACACTGTCAACAAGCCAACGGAAATATTGGGTGAGGAATAATGGGGTCAGTTCAAGATCTACATGTAACTGGGTAATTCCAACGTATCGGAATGGCAGTCTTACACATTCTGACACGCCATAAGTGGTGTTGTGTGACTACTTTTACAAGTAAAAAGACAGAAAGACCTGTTATCTACTACTTCTAACACCAACTTAAAGATGCATTCACATTTTTTTTTCAATCCTTTTACTTTGCAGATTATGAATGTTAATGAGAATGGTAATGGATGGCGCTACTGCATTGATTAGAATGTTATACTACTCAACCACAAATGATTTTGACAAAGTTTTCAGAACTTTCAATGTTGAATGGACAGGCAAAATAAAGTAAAAAACAAACATAGGAATCCTGATGGACAGATGGATGGACAGACACCCATATAGATGGGGGGAAATCAGTATTGCATAAGCTTGCATTAGCTAAAGTTGGAAATTGCTAAATAAGGAGAAAAAACAAAAACTGATCAAGAGTCAAGAACCTTAACCACACTTCTTCACTATGAGAAGGATCTAGGTTGAGGTTTTCAACATCCAAGAAGACTCACTCGGAAGAATGTGTGGGACTCTGTGAAGGCCCTGAAGAGAGCCTGGGCGCTCTTTCGAGAGGTGAGACGGAATTTCCTAATGGAAACAACATCCTCCTCATTGGCCTCGTCTGAGGAAGGGTAGAAGTGGACGGAAAACCGATTCTGGTGATAGGAGACTTTGCTGATATCCTCAAATTTGATACTACAAAAATGGAAGGAAAATAGACAGAAAAACCTCTTTACTGAAAAACTTAAAGCCAACAATTTTCCTTTTTAAACATAAAACTGCTCACTTTTTAACTGTGTATACACCTCGAATAAATGATATCAAAAGAGCAGCAGAGACAATGCAAACTAAAACATTTATTGTTAAAACTTAGAGCTTTTCCAAGTCTGCGTTCAACTTGGTCATTCTATGACTAAGATTTTAGTTTATCCATTAATAACCTGCCAAGGTAATGTCAACAACGGAGTTTAGAAAAAAGGTGCATTTTTTGATTTGAGACTTGGTTTGGGAGAAAATGATTGATGAAACTTGGCTTCAATAATTTGACTCGTTAAATTTATTTATTATCAACTTTTTTGAAACAAACACAAGAAAAATACTTTTTTGTGCATAAGCAATTCTGCCTGTTTTCATAATCATTATCATCAGCATAATGATGGAAGAACTTGGGCAGATAGGTCCAACCTGTTTTTAAAACCATCACAGGTAATGTCCCTGACAAAAGATGTCAGAAAACGAGTACAAATATATCATGTCAATCATGACATCAGCTTTAATAGACAGGCTTACAAAAATGATTCAGGCCTTGACTTGAGAAAAACTGACGGCTGACTTGACTTGTGGAAAAATGAATTGGTTACAGAAACTGGTAAAATCACTTCAAGATGGTAAGGTTAAATCTTAATATTTCAAACATCAGTTGTATACGTTTAATATTTACAAACAGCAAATATGAACATGAACAGAGAATCGAAAAATAATAGTGGAAAAACTTACTTATTAATGACATCTCTCTCTTTGCTCAATATCTGAAGCCCACCGCTGTGGACACCAATCACCACCTTTGTTCTGTCCATGGTCTCTGCAGCGAAGTACTCCACACCATAACCTGGCAACTTGTTGATCTTATTGATGAACTGAATCTCTGCCTGTGTCTTTGTCAGCTCTGCCCCGCAGTTCTGGTGGGCCTCTTTGACTTGCAGGAGTTTGTGCTCGCTGTCATCAAGGAGGTCAAAGTGCAAGGGTTATGTAACAACTTATTATAGGAGTGAATACCAGCCAACTGACAGTGAAACATTCTTCGTTCTTCCATAAAAAATTAAGAAATTGACTATATTACCTCATTTCTGACATGAAGTATCAAATTGTGAAGTATATGTTACTTACACGTATATCTCATAAATATCTTTGAAGACACTCATGATTGGAGTTAATTAGCTCACATGATGTTCAGGCAAAATGTAACAGCAGTGGAATAAATTGATGGGGAAACCACTGTCACCTATGGGCCTATGAACCAGAAGGAGCCCAGAATTGTTTTATCGTGTAATCTTTAATGTCCCTTTTCAGGGGTAAGGTTATACTTTGGAGTTTTTTTACATGTTTTTGCCTTTCTTTCATTATTTTTCAAAATAATTTTTTACTCCCTTTTTTTTGGGGGTGGGTGGGAGGCATGGTCCCAGTTGGCCCCCCCCCTGGATCCATCCTTGCTGTTACCCACAATGACAGACATTCTTTCATTTTCTTGTAGGACCCAGAGAAAATGCCAATTTTTCTTGTACAGTCCAGAGATAACCCTAACCCCCTTGGGTGTATGAAAATCACATTGAAATCGGAAGATTTGGGACTGTTAGGGATAGCTGCTGGACCATTATTCCATAAATGCTCCTTTTCATTTCCTACAGATAATCCTCACACAGAGAGCCATTTACTGTACATGTAAACTGAGTGTAAACTGCTTTTCACAGAAAGAGAAACTGTGAGTGGACCTGGCTTACATGTAGTTTACACACCTTGTAATTATATGGCCCCATTTTGTTCTCTGGTCAACACAAGGCACACTATGTGACTGAGGGCCCACTTACCAGATGGCTCACAAGGTACACTGTGTGACTGAGGGCCCATTAACCAGATGGCTTGGAATGATACTCTGTAGGCTATAAATATCAATGCAGTGGATTCCTATCACAAACTCTGCAATTTGGTGATGAACTGCGGCGTTTTGGAACCCGATCAATGTTTATAGATTCTCCTGTGGGCAACAGGTGGTCTCGTTAAGACTGGCTGATAGGGTTGCATGTTTCTTTATGGCGCTTTCGATTCTTCCTTTGGAGTGCTGTTATTGAGCTGTCAGTAACATCAAAGGTGGTTCACACCTCAGGTGAAGGCGAAGAGGAAGCAAACTGACATCACAGAATAGTCACAATGAAATTTACCAGTCGAATTGAAGTTCAACTCTTGTTAATTTGCCATCACAAATCCACATTCACGTTTGTTTTCATACTATATGAACCAGCCTTACACGTATATACAAATGGGTTTCTACCTTGAACGTAAAAGTAAAATATTACTTGGCAAACTACATGTACTTTTTGTAACGGCTTTTCAGTGCTGCTTGACAGTGCCAAGAGGCCCTACACCTAAGTGTACCGGTCACTAACCTTAGTTCAGGTAAGATGGATTGATACTGTGAATCCAAAACAGCCTCCTCATTGCCTAACTCTGCCTGAGCCATCAGCACGCAAAGCTGAAACTTCTCTGACTCATTGACTTTGTAGTGACCCTGCAGGAGACGATTCTTCAGCGTCATGTAGTACACATGTCTGGTGACACCAAGCAATAAAGAATAAGTGTTATTATTTTTTAGCGCTGTCCATTTTTGAATGATTTTTTTGTTTGAATACATGTGTTTAAAACTGCCCTTGACTGAGATTTGAATAATTTTAATTCACCCAAACAACACACCTTCAGGTTCGGTTCAAGTTGGTTTCACACCAACTGGAACCAAAACTGAGGATTTATTTTATTCATTCTTAATATGATATGCTTTTAAAATGTACAGCAAAGATACATATATGTACATGTACTTGACATTGAAATTAAGCTCTTACTTTAAGTACATGTAGCTCCATTTGCTCTCTTTAACAAAATACATGTAGTAATTAAGATCTGAAGGTTTGCATGATGGGTATACGTGAGTCTCCTGACGACAAAGAGAGCAAATTCAATATCTGAAACGTTGGGTAAACCAGCTCCTTTCGGAGGCACACACGCTCACAAAATACATCTTTCAAGCTACACGGTGTCACCGCAAACCACTTGCCTTAAAATAATACCTGCAATATCAATCACGCCAACTTTCCTCGATTTTACAATTTAATTCAAGATTAATAAAAACAGTCTACAGAGCAAAACACCGTCCAAAACTTCAAAACACGTACATGTATAAATATAAAATCTGAATGTAAAAACACTTACACAAATCATATACATGTTAACAGTCCAAACATATCACTCTCATACATAACACTGCGTGAAAAAAAGCAATATTCATTGGCAATCAAAAGTCAGAAGTTTAAAAACTGTCCAGATGTTCTTGTAAACAAGGTGAAATAATGTGAATGAAAACAAGAAATCTCTGTACAGTGTGACTAAACGTCCAAAAGAAAAATGTAAGTGCAGTCCAAACCAATAAGAAATGACACAATGTATAAAACCTTTAGACTTAGGAATAATACAAACTAGTCACACCTTCAAATGTGTGAAAAGGCACTTTAAACGTAACTGAAATAAAATGGAAAGGGCTTACAGTTAGAACGACTTTAATCTTACCGAGCGGATCCACCCAAAAAGACGGGTGAAGCAAGTTCTCTTTGCCTCTTATACTGTATATATTCAGGAATTTATTACAGTGGTGATGATACATTTAAAAAGATGAAAGGGATTAAAAGAAGGACGGTCAATAAGGATGTTGAACTGTCTTAGTCCAAATGAAAAATGCAGATATTACATAACCAATAAATTGTATGAAGATTAGTTTTCCTGATTACATCATTTAGTTCATCGATACAGGCATTTCACAATAGTTCGCCTCCAAGAGTTTGCAATGCATTGGCCAATTACAAAGCATGAAATCTGTCCATCCAATGCGCGTTGGAAAAGGGTCGACGCATTTCACGCCTTGTGACTGGTCAACGCGTTGTAAACTCTTGGAGGCGCACTATTGTGAATTACCCGTATTAATTTCGTACAGTGATTTCCTGAAATATATAAACCCAGAATGTTTCTATGAAATGTAAATCAGTTATCTGAAAAGTGTTAAGCTGCAAGAGATGAATTCATGAAAATGCAAACAACATAATTTTTTTCTAATATTTCTGAAAAATGGAAGCTACATGTTTTTAGAGAGGAAATATATTTCATCACTCAATTAAGTATATAAAATGTGTAACCAACTAAACAAACAATCCTTTGAGACCAAATAATTTTAAGCAGAGTAAACCAAATCAGTAACTTACATAAATAATGTTCACAACAAACAGAACAACTGGTATAATTTCACCAATCCAAACGTTGTGGATGCAAAGATAAATTTTTGGCCATATCTAATGTTACAGGAAACGACCCTAGATTTGACAGGAAAAGACAGATATGAGAAATAAGACTGTGGCATTAAAATGTTGCACAAGAAGTCTAAGCCCATGTATATTTATTTAAAGGTCTTACTCACCACTTACAGACTGCCTGTTCTTGTCTCTCCTTACCCGAAGACTAGATGAAATTGACAAAGGGCAGTACAAGATGACAAAAAACTCCTCCCCCCCAAACAAAAAGCCAGATAAATTGCTGCTGCGGAAAGCTGCACCATAATATTTTGCTCAAAATACCGGCGGAGGCTGGAGCAGATTGGAAGAGATGTTTACGCTGGGTGTAGTTGGATCAAAATCGAGGAAATATTTAATTTTACCCTACAGGAAACTTTGTCAATGCCCAAGAATGTCCACTCTGCAACTTTAACGAAAATGGGCTATGCAAAAAATTCAGCACGTGAAATATAAAAGTATAAGGCTACAACAGGACAACAGTATTCTTTCTATGCAACGCACAGGCAGCTAACAGCAGCAAAACATGAAATGGCACAAGTGTTTACATCATGGGAAAAAAATAGCGTGAAAAAGGAACCAGTGGAGAGTAAGAGCATAACCGACCAAAACCCTGTAAAGTATGACCACTAGACAGGTCACTTCAAGTGCCAGGAAAACAGTTAACAATTGATTTAACTTACATAGCTTTTGCAATTAAAAGATCATCATCAACTGCTTGGAGTCTAAGTTAAACAAACAAAGGAATAGGATTTAATAACAATTAAGAAAAGCAATCACTATGCATTAATAAGCTTAACGAATCTGAAATACGAAGGAAGACTGTTGTGAAATCAAATAACTAAGTACACATAAATCATAATTAAGGGCTTCAATAAAATTATCATTAACTATGGACAGAATGGTATAGGTGCATGCTTGCATGAAGGCGCTACCTCAGTGTTTTCTTGCTGCCAACAAAGTCATTCCAGAACTAGAAGAGGCATCCCTGAACGAGCTTGTACATGCTCCCCTGGTAACGGCACAGCCTCTAGTTGACGAGGTGAACCTGGATTGTCACAAGCATGACTTGGTCGCTCAGCAGACTCACCAACTCAGAGAGTGACAGCATCCCCTACTGTGCAGCAGCACAGAGGATCCTATGCCAACCCTCTACATCGTTGTTAGACTGTATGGACTAGTGGTAGGATGCCCACACCTGTGGTGCCCACAAAGTGGATGTAATCCATGTGTTTTCTTCATAGTTGGAACAGCTGCAGAGAGATATAAAATCAAAATCACAACATTTCTCTTTCAGAGTCTTGTCCCATCTTTAGATGGGGTAAAGAGCCTCCATCCTAAAGAGCAGCCTTCTTCCATTTCAACCAATCTAGGACACATTTGTCCTCCATTCCATGGTGTTTCATATAATGTCTGACATCTATTTCATTAAAATTCAAGGATGGATTTGCGCCGGGGAGATGTAAATTAATTTGGGATTTTTGCCCTGCCCGACCTGTATTTTAACACTGTATACTCTGTATACACCGTATACTGTAAGACATCTGCACTAGTAAACAGGAGGTTGTAGGTTCGAGTCCCACCCGAGTACGCTTTTTTTTTTCCCAAGCCTTCGGGGGCATACCCTGAGTATAGGGCAGGGCAAAAATTCAAAATTAATTTGTGTTTGACATCGTCTATCCTTCCCTTCATTTGTCTTCCCCTCTTTCTTCTCCCAGGTGCACTACATCTGATTCCAACATTCCTTTTAAAGGACCTTCTTCCCCGCTCCATTTCACATGTCCAAGCAACCTCAGCCTTGCTGAGCACTGGTATGAAAAGACATATTCTTATTGCTTAAAAATGACAGCTGGACTGTGTAGATCTTTCTTGACAGGGGACTTCGGAATACCTGGCGTCAGTGTTCATTAAAAGTGATTGCTGGATTTAAATACTTGCATGTGCCTACTTGAAAGAGGACTGTATGTACATTTTAACAATTCATCTAAAGTGCCCCACCAAAATGTGGAATGTGTTTTTTGTTTCAGTTAAAGCAAGCTCACAAACCTGTGTCAGCATGTCAGCATCAAGCTGCCTTACGCTTCATGTGATCAAAAAGCACCAGGATGGTGGCTTCCCAGGGTAGGTACATGACCAGGGGAGAGCCATCAGCTTGGTGATGTGATTGACTACTATGTATGTCTCCCTTATTCTGACAGGCTTTCTACAGAGACCAAAGTCCTGAATCTTCCTCCATGGCATGAAACCTCTGGGAAGACATCCTTCATGGCTGGTAGCCACCTCAAAGTAAAGGATGCACTCTTCAACTCTGAAATCAAAAGTAAAACAACTCAACAAGCAAGTACACTCTGGTAGCTAGCTCCATCTTTTTTTCTCCTATAATTTTTTTTTTCACAAATAAATTAGGAGAAAAATAAACCCTCAACCCATGAAGACATACAATTGGCTGCAACATGCCATGTTATGTTTCAAACTTAGTCCCATGCAAATTAGAAATGCATAATACCCCAACCATTTCAAGCAGGTAATCCTTGACTGCTTTGAACACCTATGTGTAGTTTTGTAGTCTCACTTCTGCTACAATTTGTTGGTTCAGTGTGCAACATCGTGTAGCTGAAGTCGGCTTTGAACTTGGGGCACAATTTAAACCGTGCCACTTTTAGATTCGAAATCAAGATCCTAAAATATTGGTTTCCTTGAAATATACAGCTGAAACTTTATGAGGTGAGTTGTATACACGAGCAACCTTCTTTGGATTTTGAGTAATATTGCTGCCTCGAAGATGGATGCAAGATGCATGAGCATACATTTAAAAAAAAGTTAATCATGTTTTTTAACATTACTGACACAAAACCCACATCATTTTCAAACTACCGTTTCATCAACCTCCAATAACGAGAAACATAGAGTAGAACCAAAATTAGTTTGGCTATTAACAAGATGATTGTAGACCTAACTTTGGAAAGGATCCCTGAAGTATAAAACATATTTGTTAATACTGGCAAATGTAGCAAAAAAATGACTGCAACATGTCTGGATGTAAACACCAGATAAACAAGTTTTAGAAGACCTGAAAATTACAATGTGTATGCACAATGCATACATGTGTAAATATTGCATCATCACCTGTGATTCGGCAGCACTGGAATTCCAAAGAGACGTCTTCAGACCGATGCAGCAAAAAAGGACGTAACATTTCCAAGAAGAACCCATATCAGTCCCTTAGTCTATTGCTAAAGTCCCAAAGTTATACCTGTAAAACAATAATTTTACAAATGTGCAAGTTCTCTCTCTTGACTAGTTACATTTAGAAATGAAGTAATAGGCCTACAGGAACATCTTATGTAAGCTTCATTTACACGTATAAGGCTGTAGTGAGAATACAGGAAGCATATTTTAAGTTACAATTACAAATGACGTTTTCTGAGGCATTTGATAGGGAATTTCATGAACCAAGTTTTGAATGAGGGACTTCATGTGATGTGAATATCAAACCGTCAGCCTAATAAAATGTGGTTCAGTTCTATGCAAACCAAACAGATGATCATTAATGTCAATCATTAATTAAGAAGTCACCCACAATCATATGGTTCAGAAAGCGATACTAACAGCGAATGAATTTTTTTTTCCGCAAAAAGTTGAGGCTCGGCTTTAACTTAAGACACATAATCTAAAATTACAGCTGATTTTCAGAAGAATGGATGGACCTATGTTAACTCATCTAACCGACAGAAAAACCAACGGCTTGTGCTGAAGGTTGAAGACTCAGCCTTAAAGCTGGGACAATTTCAAATTAAATTTAAGAGACGGCAGTCTCTCAAAAAGAATGCTACTTCCGCTACACACCTACCAGGAAATATCAGGCTTTGATGTACATGTATATTGGAATGTACATGTACATGTATATATTGATGTACATGTATGCCTCCACAACGTTATGCACAAATCACGAGTCTAATCAACTTGTAATAAAGCTGAGGTGCTGAAATTTAATTAAACAGAATTAAGACCACTAATTAAAAGATAACTAGCTACAGTCATTCAGATCATCAACAGGTCTATTAGCAAACTTACCTGAACAACTGCGGAGCTGCTGCCAGTGATGAGTCTGATGACAACCGTCGCATTGCACAGTGTGATGTCAAGAAGTGCCAGTATTGTTCACCGTGCACTTAATGCTGGGGAACCTGGGCCTAGCGTTTCTCAGCTTCCAAATTAAAACCGGCATAATGGTTGAATTGTGTTTGAAATTGACTTGATATCAATGGCATCTTGGTACAAATTATAACCATGGCCAACGGTTTTGTTTGACGGATGATGAACCTGCCAGCCCCAAATAATACAAATTTGGAAAGGAACACAAAAATTATGAAAAATTTACATGTAGGTTGCTTTCCTGATGTACGATTTTTAGTGTTTTGAAAAAAATGGACTGTATATTCCCGTAATTTTTTCCTGATGAGTGTTTTGAATCAACTGAAAAAAATTCAGACTTACATTTCATTTTTTATAAAAAGTACCAAGAGCACTTACTTTCTTAATATGCTTTAAGTACCAGTAGTCGTACATTCATGTACTGGTAAAAAAGGAACTTTAAAATTTAGTTTTTTTCCACCCTGCAACCTTGCCAAATTTTAGGTTATCTTCATAGTCTAACAAATAAGAAAACTACTGTATGCTGGCCTCCCTAATTTGGAGATTGCTATATTTTTCGAGGCAAGTTTCCTGTGATGTTTGAATTGCTGTTTGCCACCTCTTAATCAAACGTTGGCTTAAAAAAACTATGCATCAACCGGAGTGTCTTTTGGTGCACTGACAATTAACTACAAAGTCTGTCGTCTTCTCACAAACACTGCTATCTTTTATTCTTGGAATGCGACATGTACTATCAAGCTATACATCAGAGAACAGGAGTAGCTTTGGAAATATGGTTGGCTAAGTTTGATTTCCAGTTTATCAATTTGTATGTATCCTCTCTCCTAAATTTCCAAGATTTCCGGAAACTACTCACTGTCTTTACACCCTAATCCACGCATGCTAGCTTTTCTGTTTGATCAGTTAACTCAGTTTTCCACCACCAACTGAAAAACGGATCCATGATGACGGCAGAATTGGCTAAGCCTGTGAGATTTCAGGTTTATCTTTTTATCAGCTCTTTCTCTTGCACTGAACCACTTCTGCCAAGAAAACTGTTTACTTATTAGCAATTTAATAGATACATTTACATGCACAATTCATTTGGGTATTCATTTTCTCGTGCATTCAATGTTTCCAAAACTGTTAACCATTTATCACTGCACATCATCGTTTCTGTTTGAGAAGAGCAGCAGCTAAATTTCTACATCATGAATATGTATTTCCCAGCAACACCCCATAGAACACAGTTCAATGATGATGACAGAATTGGCTTACTTTGTTTACACTCAAAATACCTGCTAAGTTACTATTTTGCCCATGCAAAATACCAATCACCTTGATTGTCGTGCCCATGATGGTGTTCCTCATCTGGCATGTTCCTGAGCCAGGTTAGTAGTTCTAATTAGGCATTATTTCATTCACTTTGATCCGAGCTGTAGTATTCTTAACCTACAGCAAACCCACTCTAACGAACGAAGGGATGTTGAATGAACTTTCTGCTGTTTGTGCCTACCATGGACTGTGTTCGCTCACCAAAGTACAGGTACCTACATCCACATGTAACTATGGCATGTTTTATGTTAATCACGGAAAGGAATAAAAACTGAAAAAGAAAAGTGATGCATTACTTGCAAAACCATTGCTGGTTATAGTAATTTTCTGAATGTCAGCACAAGTCTGTTATTCAGCCTGTGGGTTATGATGTTGATTTTTAAGTGAAATAAACTATTACCAACTGACAAATCCAGTGACTTTTCACGGGACATTCTGGATGGCTCCCCTACAACGGCAGGGTCCCCAGAGTCCCTGGCATTGGGATTTTGTGCAGAGATGCTGTAATGGAAGAGTGGCTCTGTCATGTCTGTACAGCAGCCATTGCAACATTCACCCCACTGGTGGGGATCACTGCAAATAACCAGTGATACATGTAGTGCTACCAGGGTCATCTGATTTGTCTATTTACAAACACCATCACTGTTGAAATCAATGAAAATGATAAGAAAAACAAAAGTCACAAAATAAGACAAACCAATCCACAACTCTGGAATCTACCTGCTGATTGTTTGTTGGAGCTCCTGGGGCGAGACAAAGAACTTGACCTGCAGACTGAGTCTATGGGGCGGCTTGGTGTTCAGCTGAAGCTTGAGTGGATTTCGAAGATTGAGCCAGAGTAATTCTCCCTTCTTGGAGCGGTAACGCAGGCCAAAGTACTCCCTCTCAATGAGTCCGACATCATCACAAACCTGATCAGAGAAGTAAATAATGAGTATGCTCAAAACAAAGCGCATCGTACAGTGAACCATTTGAGAACATCAGTACATGTGTGCTAGGTTTGCCCCTTCAGCGCACCAGTACGTCGACCCATTCACACTGAACATGTTCAAACTGGTGCATCTGGATGTTGGTCCCTGTATTCTCAAATGACCTTGCCTTTTTTTTTAAACAATACTGTTCTTTCCGCAAAATGTTGTATAAATATGGTAAAATATAAGCTGAAAGGGTAGCATCGCTAACTTAATTGTTTCTCTTTAGTGTTCAGGTACTGCGGATATTTCACCGTGGATGGGTTACGTGTACATGTATATCTTTTTGTTTTTTTCATTACTGTTCTAAGTTTTTCCCCGGACATGTATGGTCAGTCGTTTCAGCAGTCCTTTAAGACTTTTTGTTTTCCTGAAAATGTGCTTTTCCCATAAATAAAGAATATATTAAGACAAATTTCACACTACCGGAAATCCCTGATTCTGTAGATTTTGATATTGTGTACAATGTGCAGCCACTGGGTGATAATCTAAACCTAGCTTTCGATCACCACTTCATGTTTACTAGTGCACGTATATCTGTCATGGCTCCTGACCAGAGACATCTTGGATTAAACTTCCTACTATTGTAATTCTTCTTCTTTGCTTTTACGTTTCAATCTAACTTTCTACTTTCTTTTTTTGAAAACTGTGTTTTGTAATTGTCTCATATTTTACAAACTTACTTTTTATCTTGTACTCAGACATATTTAGTCTACAGACATGCTGCATGATCCGTATGTTTAATAAACCATTATGAAATGAAATGAAATAAAATAAAGCACATTTCCTGAACTGTGTCATTACACTGACTGTACAATAGACCCTGTAACAATTAACTGGTATTCAGTATTTTGCAGTTTTCAAATTTGTTTTGTTGGCATCTTTAATACGTCCATTTGTACAAGTAGACTTTACAGTTTTTGCCTACCAGCAACAGACTATGGCAGGCTATCCGTGCCTCCCCCCCCCAAAAAAAAATTAACACTAATTTATAATGTTGAAACTCTTTACACAACAACATGTACTACTGTACATGATAAATGAATTAACTTCTCCTCTACGGGCAGTACAACTGAAACAAACGTGCACTGCACTTTGATTTAAAAGAAAACCCTTGAACATTCTGCGAACTTTGGCGGGCAAAAAAAACACTGGGTGAAGTTTGTACATAGTTTAGTCCAAAGATCATATAGCGCCGCGAAGTGGCGCAAGATGGCGAACTTCACCGTGAATATACGTAAAACGTTGTAATCGCATGGGCGCCATTTGAGCAAGCGATACGCCTGCGTAATGCACATTAATGCACAGGCGCAGCGGCAGTCACGTGCACCTGGTGAGCCTGCGCCCAAGCATTACCGTAAACTGCGCAGGCGTACTGCTTGCTCAAATGGCACCCATGATAATTACACCTTTTGGGCAGAGTTATCCATCTTGTGCCTTTGGCGCTACACGATCTTTGCTTTAGTCTTATTCGGGCCCCCTTCATTCACTTTGGATGTGAAGAAGACAAGAAGTAAATCTTTCAATGACAAAAAATGAAGGCTTGGACTGTATTTCTGTATTACTGAATGGTGTTTTTTCAATATCGAACAATACAAACTGTAGATGAATAAATCCATAAATATCCAGATACAAGCAAGAGGGAGAGGCGGCGATGTCAGGGCACGTGATACGTGCTGCATTGTAAAGCTAGCTGTTTACACACGTTTAAAATGTTTGAGAAATATGTAATTCAGGGAGTGACAACATTTTGCAAAGATATGGTTATGAAGTTGTGAGACCAATAAAGTTTCTGTTTTCCATACAGTTTGGGAATTCATTTAATGCGAAATGGTCGAGCTGATTAGTGTGGTTCACTGACCACAGATTTCCCAGACGTCTCTATACATGTACATAATCTTAGCAGGAGTAGTCGGAATTATGGGGACTGGTATCCAAAGCAACATAAACGTTTGTTATGCGAATACGCTGCACCTGTGTTTTGTCATGTGACGTACGGCCACAAGAGAATGCAGATGTGTGTGGAGAAATGAAAGGTGAGGATGGTAGAAAAAACTCATTTATTGCCAAACGCTATAAAATACAATCATGCTCGGTAGTTCCATATAGGTTAACTATTATTATAGAGTCTTCAGGGAAAGATTTGCTTCAGAAAGCACTAACAAAGGTTTCATCTGGTACTCCAACTGGGCAGCTTTCAAAATGCCATAGCATGCGGAACCACCAAAAAGGTGGAGTGCAGGAAGGTCTACGGAGTAGTACATGAACCTTTCTGTTCAGGAAGTAGCCAACATGTACATGTACATGCAATGTCTCATCCAGCAATCTAGCCAGTCCAGTGGACAGAAAGTCTTATCACCAGTTTTTGAAAATCTTTTCAGACAGAAAAATGTACAACTTACAAGAAAATGCTTTCCATGTCATGCAGCAAAGGCAGCCTATCTGCAGTAGGTCTGTTGTCAAATAATATTTTAAGCCTCGTACTACTGTGCTCTGGTTCTCCAACGAAAAAACAATGGTGGTTATCGCCCACTCAACAATTAAGAGTGAATCAATGCAATCTAGGTCCCTTTACACACATAAATCACTAGGCCTAGGCCCCGGCATTTGCAAGCTTTGGGACCCCCGTTTTTATCATTTGTACAAAAGAGGTAGAACTGCAAAAGAGTACAATCTTGGGTAATGTTCTCTTAATGATACTGACCCTATTCTTTGTGAATTTAAATCAATAAATTAGAAGAAAATGCAACTTTGTTACATAATTTTCTGACACTGACACACCAGACCGTGATGTCCTCGTGCTTGCTTTTACCCAGAATTTCCCCTATAAATTGGAACCCTGCCCCTCTTTGCACAAAATTATTCCTGCAGTTATTCAGCATGGAGAGAGCGTTATCCAGTAAAGTGAGTTTTAAAGTTTAAAAGTAAGTTTCTATTTTATTATAGGACATGGAGGAACAGGGTCCCGAAAGCGCCCCATAGGCAGTACAATTTAAAGGGCCCAGGGGCGCCAAGCCTACCTTGTCCATCAAAACTTGTCCATGCGAATCTTTCGGAAGGTGATATTCCCTCACAATGTACGGAGACTCGCTGATAAAACACCACATGGTTACTCATTGCTACACTATGTACACCCTACAATGTAAACCGACTAATTAGTATCATTTGTTGCCAGGAAACAGCTAACGTTAGATGTCGTCCTTTTCAGCAGGGCTCAATGCCATGTTTACGGCAACATTTCCAATGTTGCCCTTTTATTTTCCACTTTTTTCCACTTTAGTCGGATATCCGTATTGGAAAAACACAGGGCTTTATTGTTTGTAGTCTGGAGACAAGTTCCATGCTGCCTACAAATTCCGTCGTCGTGAAAGAGGTTGAGAGTCCTTGTTCCCGTGGGATTATCGCTCATAACAACCCAACACAATGACGGCCATTGTGCTCAAATCCCATGTTTGACATCAGAGAGGTCATGTTGAATTAAAGGATATTTTTACCATGTGTGACGGGTTGTTCTTTTGTTGACAATTCTAAAATAAAATTTCCTAATCCACAGCTGCCCTCCTTTTGCCTGTTTTTACCACTGATATGCGGCAAGCTCATGGTGACAATGAGGCCATTAGTCCTACCCACCTCAGGGGCGGATCCAGGGGGTGGGAACGTAAACTAAAGTAATAAATAAATGCCTAGAACAACAGTCATACTACTTATAAAAAGGAAGACATTCTGTAAGGATTATTATTTGTACACCACAGTGTATATCCATCATCCACGTGTCCGTGTGTCAGCAACGATCGGACATAAAATAAATATCTGGGGGGGGGGGCTTGACCCGACAGGGAAACTCCTGCGTCTGCCTCTGTACGTACCTGTTTGTGCCCCTGCTTAGAAAATTTCATTAGCCCTTCCCATACATGAACGTTAATTTAAGTCCATCTCAGTAATAGTTTGACTTATGCCATTTGTTTAGGGGCTTGAATTCTGTAATCATTGGAGGACTGGAGGCTTTGTGGACACGTGAAAAGCCACGTTAAATAATTATAAACGTTATGTTTCTCTCCTGTATTTTGCTAAGACCAGCGGTGTTACTACGGGAAGGGGGTGCAGTAAAAGCCCCTGCAGATCTATTACCCCCCCCCCAATAATTTAAACAAACTTTGTACAAGCTGCGGTTATAATAAGCTTTCTTTACCCCTCTGAAAAAATGTGTGCACCTCGAGCACTCTGTAGAATCTTCCTGCCAATTACACTGGCTCGGATATAATACCAGATTGATTATCAAATCAATTAGAATTGGCTGCATGGACGGGGTCCAAGTGTGTTTCAAAGCAGCTTTTATAAAACTTCCAGCTGATACAATCGTGACATGACATGAATTTTGTCCAATATTGGATTATGCGAGTATTTATGAGTGCAACGGTATGAATAGTTGACGTCACGTGATCTGCAAATCACCAATAAGACGACGGGATTTATTTAGGCATTGTGTAAACCATGTCAAACTCTGCAGGGTGGTCTTTGATCTGTTTAAACGGTTACGGTCATTCATCATAAAGTGACACTAACTGTCATAGTATATTACACAGATTTCCAAGTGGATATATTTTCCATGCTTTTTATTTCATATCAAATAGCACAATATGTGATCAGCTGTACAAACGGCAAGCACTTTATATAAAAAATACCGAATAGCGAGAATACACAAGTCACTTTATACAAGCCTTTGACCAGATAGACAACATTAATAATCGATAACAGTAATTGCATTGTTTGGCACTGCTTTGAACCAATTAAAATACTGATATTTGGTATAGATTTAAACTTTACACACAAACAATTTTGACACCGTGAAACCAGTTTTTAAGATGCAGCACTAATCAAGGTGTCATAACCGCCACAATCGTTTGATGCTAAATTACACTGTACTGAACTTAATAAAAACAAGTTATCGAAATTAACAATGATCATCAGAGAGAAAGCATAATATTTGCATTGGGTATGGGTAATTCCAATCGTTAAATCCTTACACAAAATTTAGTTAAGCAGAAACACATTATCTGCAGGACGACCAATGTTAATTTCTGCACAGTCGATAAATATGGTGTATACAAATTTCTTAGGTGTTTTCTATTTACAATGACAGCCTTGTATAAAACATACGCATTAAATTGTTCTAATACTGAATATGTCTTAATTGTTACTGTGCAATAAATGCTGGACTTTTTTCTTTAAATCTTCAATCAAAACCTGAAATATATTATTAGGCCTATACCCAGAGATATTCTCTGCCGATTGCTCAAAACAATACGATGGCTGGTAAAATCTCCCAAATAAACATAATTGCATAAACAGCTTCTTACCATTTGCACGTATTTACCCTGTATATTTGTGGGACTTACGTCATGGATGAAATTGTTGAAAGAACAATAATACTGATTGCTTTAACTTGTTACAATTTCTCTATACTGAGCATGTGAAGAATTTACAGCCTTTAAATGTCAATATTGCAAAATTTATCTTTAGAAATACATTTATCGGATTCAGAACACTCATAATATTGTACAATATAATTATAATACCTGAAAATATCAATCGTTGGGCAGATTGACGTTGTGAAATAATCGTGAATATTGTATCACTGGGTAAAACCAGGCTCTTTTGGTGTAATCATACACAGAATTGCCAATTGCCGCACTGCACTGAACTTGCACGCAGAAAATCGAGTACATATAAAAAAGGAAATACTGTTTTGGTAACGATGCTTGATATATTGTGAACACAAGTTATTGCAGATATTGAAACAGAAATACTTCGGTTAATTTCTAAAGAGGATATTTCTCTTTCTTTCTTGCCACATATCTCAATTACGCAGATTCACATATCAGAGGAAATTACTATCAGTCTTCATCACTTCATCACCACAATTTATACTTCCAATGTGGAATCTTTTCCGGCCGCCCCACTTGTCCGTCTGCACTGCATGAAAACTAGAACAACCAGTAGGAAGATGATGGTGCCCAACATGGCAATCTCCACGACGTCTGGATTGACGGCCATCTTCATTTGGTTTTGATTGGCATCTGTAAGTCGAAAAGAAAAGATATATCTTTATTGTGATCAAGTATCATTCATACAGCCCCCCAAAAAATCAATATGGAATTGGATTGGCACGAGGATAGACATTAGTATTATTTTTCCCCCGAAAACTACATCAAATGTTTTCAATTTGACATTTTCATAAAATATCACACTGTATGGCACCACTTACCAATCTTTTCACCATCAAATCTCAACTGGCCGCCAGTGCTCGGATAGGCGGCTGAGGAGGAGCCCACTCTTGTGAGGTCGCGCTTTCGGCGTTGAGGCAGCTCACTGTGCGGCACATCGCCTCGGTTTGGTACCTCTGGCCGGAGCACATTGTCATCTGGAGATGGTATCCCGGGAGATGATGGGCTGTCGGAGTCACATCCCATGGTGCATCTAGAGTTGGGGTCATTCACGTCACAAATTCTCATGTCGCAGTGCACGTATACCTGAAAGTACAAAATATTTCGGGAAATTAATACCCCTGTTTCGGAAAAGAGTCTATTTTAAACAGACAAAGACCTCACGAGAAAGAGTTTCTCAAAAACTGCACAAATTAGTCTCTGTACGCACCGTTCCGTGGATGTTGTCGCCCAAGAAGGCAAAAGAGTTAATAGCAAATCGTTCCCTTTTGCTTGAGGGGGAGTCCAACAGCACAACGGTGTCATCAACTGGGCAGCTGGAACAATGGAAACAAAAGATACAAATTATACATTTTTGATAAAATGAAACAGCGACTAAAACTCTCTTTATTTTTGTAATCACAGAACAAAGCTCACAAAAAGTGCTTGGTATTGTACAGAAGAGGGGAGGAATCTTTTGGTTGATTTTAGATTCAGAATTTGAATGATAAAAGTCCTGTTAGATACTTACCCTTTGGTAATGAATGGAAATCGGGTAACATCAAAGGGGTTTGACGTAGGTGTGGCCCAACAGTTGTCAATCATGAGGTCGCAGTTCCCGTCACAGGTCACGCGCCCCTCGAAGTGCATAGGTTGGTCAAGCTGGACCCCCACGGGAAACTCCCGTGGCCGGTAGGCCCGGGCAAAGCTCTCGTCCTCGTACATGCGGAGGGAGAAGTTGAAGTTGCCGTAGCCTTCCTCGTAGTACACGATGGTGGTGACGTTGGGATCGAAGGACAGGTAGCTGATCCGGTCGGTTGGCACGCGGCAGGTCAGATGTATCTCGATGAAATGGTCTCTGGTGATCTCACTGCCTGGGGTGTAGGGCTGAGGTGGGATGTAGACCACGTTCCTAAATGCCATTTTTCTTCCATTCCCGATCACCTGCAAAACACGTTATGGCAAGAATTAATAGATGCACCGCTGACGAAAAGAAATTTTACAGCGCCTACTGCCACAGCTTGTTTGGTAATTTTAAGTCAGAGTTAAGAAAACATTGGTTACCTCGGGCACCGTCTGACAGGCGTCGTATGACGTTCCGATGACGTAGTGCGTCTTGTTGTATTCTCTCCCTGTGCAGCTCTTGTCGTTCAGGTACATGGATGTTGGGTCGATCCCACCCACCAAGCGCTTCGACACGAACGTCTGCATGAAGTTCTCACGGCAGTCTGCGTTGCCTGTCGGCTGTGAGCTTACCACGGGTTTCTTTTCAAGTTCCGCCGGCGATGTACGACCTGAAAATGTAAATAACGAATTATAACATAAAGATTAGGATCAATTGAAAATACTCATTATGTGCACTTGCAAATATAATTGCAAACTTATCATAAACGTAAAATATCAAAACTCTACGGGAAAAGAATCCCTGTGAATTTGAGGGAAAGCATACCAGTCCATTTGAAGCGCCAATCAGCCCCAGTGGGCACCGTAACATCGCACTCCTTGGTGCTTCTTGCCGCACCCTCGTCAACTACGATCTTGTAGTCGAACCCGAAGAAAACCGACGCAGCGACCGGCAGAGAGAACTTCAGGGCCCTGCCCTCGATCGTGACCTCATCTGATGTGGTGTCTACCTCGTACACAGCTGACTCCTCCGAGTTCATAATCCTCACGTGGGCGGGCGACAACGGCTTCCGGATCTGTTTACACAAAAAGATAACAGTTTCAAGGGGGATTCTTCACGAATCATTCTCTTGAGATGCCACAAATTCTCTCAGTGCAGAAGCCTAGCACTTAAAGAGAATTTAAAAGGAATTTAAATATGCGATAGTCTAGAATTGTTCATGAAGCAAAAATAGGCATCAAGTGGGCTTTATGCGAAATAATGTCAGTTATAGGCTAGGAGTGTGATTTGAAGCGCAAATAGGATTTACCGGTTTGTTATACTGTATTGTGACGTCGTAACCAGAGATGTTTCCACCAGGCCTTGGCTGCGATTCGAGAGGGACAACGGCCAAGGGTTCGAAGTCGGCCCCTCCGTCCTGGCAGAAAGTCAGGAAAGTGAAGCGCCACTCGGCAGTGTCCGGCCGGGACAGATCACAGTCCTGGGCGCTGAGCGCCGCCCAGCCGTCCACACGCAGCTTGTACTCGCCCTGGGACTCCAGCGGGAGATCCAAGGGTAAGGTGAAGCCAAGGGAAGTACCTTCGACGATAGACACATCGGGAGATGCAGCGTCGACTTGAAAGAGGAGGGTGTCGGTAGAGTCGAAAAGAGAGATGTAGGCTGGTCTTAAGGGCTTCTGGATCTATAAAGGAAAATGTTAAAATTAGCATAATGCTTTTGTTACAAATATAATATATTAGATGAAAAGACTTTTAATCTTTAATATAATTTTTTTTTTATTATAAATGAAAATGTAAATTTTAGTTACTAAATTAAAGGGCGTAATATTTCAATCTGATGATTTTATAAATGTTGAATTATAACCGTGCAACTTTGTGTTCGGTCTACCTGTTTGTTGAAGCCGATCTTCATCATTCTACCAGCGAAGTTTTGTCCAGGGTAAGGAGATGATTCTGTGGGTCTAACTGAGAGCGGCTCGTAGTCGCCACCGTCGGGACAGAAGGTGACGAAGCCGAACTCCCACTCGGCTGGAGGCGGTGGGACGAGGTCGCAGTCCTGGGCGCTTCGCACCGCCCCTTCGTCCACGCGGATGCTGTAACCCCCTCCGAACTGCAGTGGGAGACCCAGGGACAAGACGAAGCTCAGGGTGTCTCCGTCGATGGTAACGTCTGGGGAAGACGTGTCGACTTGGAGAATGGGGAAGCCAAAGGCGTCCAGAATTGTGATGTAGGCTGAGTCGGACGATTTCTGAATCTGCATTTTAAAAACAAATTTTTGATTATTGTTAAAAAGCATGACGGGTAGATTCATTCGCAACGGCAACTGAGCTGTAATCAAAAAAGTAATATTTATTAATCTATAACTATCTACTGATAACTGGGAGATGGTTTCGTTTTTATAAATGATATCATAATCGATATTGGACGCACCTCTTTGTTGTATTTTATCATCATAGTTTGTCCGGCAAAATTCTCCCCTGGAAAGGGCACTGATTGGCTAGGAAGAACCGTTAGAGGCTCGTACGATTCCTCGTCTCTACAGAACGTGACGAAGACGAAGTCCCACTCGGCTGGAGGTGGTGGGACGAGGTCGCAGTCCTGGGCGCTTCGCACCGCCCCTTCGTCCACGCGGATGCTGTAACCCCCTCCGAACTGCAGTGGGAGACCCAAGGACAAGACGAAGCTCAGGGTGTCTCCGTCGATGGTAACGTCTGGGGAAGATGTGTCGACTTGGAGAACGGGGAAGCCGAAGGCGTCCAGCATTGTGATGTAGGCTGAGTCAGACGATTTCTGAATCTGCATTTTAAAAACAATTTTTTGTTTATTGTTAAAAAGCATGACGGGTAGATTCATTCGCAAAGGCAACTGAGCTGTTGTTAAAAAGTTCATATCTATTAATCCACAGCTTTTCTGCTGATAACTGGGAGATGATTTCATTTTAATAATTCGATATCATAATCGATATTGGACCTACCTCTTTGTTGTATTTTATCATTACAGTTTGTCCGGCAAAATTCTCCCCTGGAGAGGGAACTGATTGGCTAGGAAGAACCGTTAGAGGCTCGTACGGTTCCTCGTCGCTACAGAACGTGACGAAGACAAAGTCCCACTCCGCCATAGGCGGGAAGCCTTGCTCACACGCCCGAGCACTAACCACGGCGCCCTCATCCACTCGGAGCCGGTACCATCCCCGGTGTTCCAGTGACAGAGTCAAGGGTACCGAGAAGCTCAGGGTCCTGCCGCTAACGGTTACATCAGCTGTTGAAGTGTCGACTCTGAAAATGGAGGAGCCAGTGCGGTCGTAGATAGTGACGTAAGCACTAGACGATGGTTGCTGGATCTGTAGCATTGACAAATAGCCAAAAATTGTGGTTATCAAAACAGCGCTTACTTACTGGGAGTTCTGTTTGTCACTTAAATATAAACTCATTTTTTTGAGGCGAAAACCCTTTGCATTAAATGAAATACTTCATGTCAGGTGATGGGCTTAAGATACATTACCTCTTTGTTGTATGTGACGCTAACAACGTTTCCAAACATCTCGGCGCCTGGAGCCGGCACAGATTCAGCGGGCGACACGACCAGCGGGGTATTATCGCCGTCACAGAACGACTCGAAGACAAACATCCACTCGTCGCCCAGTGGGGCGGCCTCGCAGTCCACGGCACTCTTCGCCACCCCCTCGTCCACGCGAACTTTGTAGGCGGTGCCGCGTTGCAGTGGAAGATCGTAGGGGAGAGTGAAGCTCAGGGTCTGGCCGCTGACTGTCACATCGGAGGAGGATGAGTCAACTTGATACAGAGGGTTGTTGCTGGCTTCGAGAATGGAGATGAAAGTAGATCTGGAGGCTTTCCGGATCTGTCAACAAAGTGTTTGAAATTAAAATTTTTCCTTTTATAGTAATATTAACATACACAATTTTATAGATTAAAACTTAAATAAATCTTTTTCTGAGGAATTTTAAACACATAAATTCACAATCAATAACTGTACCAATCAATCAGTTTTACCTCTCTGCTGTATGCAATGCTGATGGTATCCCCTCTTAGCCTGGCTCCGGGTCGTGGCGTGGACTCATACGGATCAACCACCAATGGTGGACCAAAGTCAGCCGCGTCTGGAAAGCGGAGTTAGTGAAAACATGGTGAAAACAAAACCTTTGATTGCAGTTTTCCACACAGGAAAGAAAAAAGTCAGGAGAGCAGATATGTCTTTCATTATGCTTTTACTTGGGCAGGACCATGCACGCTCTATAAAAAATAACCAGACGGAATCTTAAATTAGTGAACACTGAAACGATCACAAAAGACGCCTTTGTAACTCACCTACAACATTTACATACATGCAGAACATATCACTTGAGAACTTGTACGCTTCTTCCGCTTCATAACAAATCACGTGACGTCCAATCTGATCTCTAGTTGGTACCCAGGAAAGTGTTACTGTGTACTCATCGTTAGACCCGTCCACTCTCCGCAAAGGGGTGACATGTACGCCGGAAGGCTTGATGGTCTCGAAGGAAGTTATACTGTAGCAGATGATAAACAAGAGTTGATAAGCACAGGAAACATTAAACCGACAGAACAAAATAAAAAAACCTAAATATCCTGTTATCAAATCCCGGTGAGTGGAATACCAGCGTTAGTTATTAGCATGACTTGGATATGCAGATGTTTGAAATATTAGCAAATAATTTCTAGAAAGTATGATGAGATTTCAGCTAGGTCGACGCAAATCAGAAAAAAAAATTACGGACTTACGGATAGTCAGGGAAGGAACTACGAGCTCTGAGGGGGATTCGCGTCTCACGGCCGGCGGGGATGGTGGTGCAGGTACCGTCTTCGCCAATCAGTTCCGGCTTTCTGCACCTGCCGTCCTTCGGGTGCACCTCAATCAGAAACTGGACGGGGATGCGGCTGAGCGGAGTGCTGGGGTCGGAAGGGGAGTAGTCCTCGATCATCAGCGCCACGGCGTAGGTGCCGGCCGGGTTGCGCCGGTTGAACGTGATCTTGCAAGTGTCCTGCAAAATGAGGGAAACCGATTAAACAGCGTTTCAGTGCATTTGGAATAATACTGTTGTAGTTCTACGTATCAAAAATATCCATTCAGACTTAAGCCATGGTTAAATAACGTATTGAACATCGTGTTAGGAAACGTCAGGCGAAAGTGTGACGAACCTCCTCGAGGATCGCGCCTTTTTTCGTCCTGTCAGCATTTACGTAAAGCTCCCCACAGATGTCTCCATCGTCGTCATTACACTCATTCCTGTTAGGGTCGGTCCATCGACAACGCAACATATCACCGTCCGCGTCCCAAGCTACAATGAAAGACGACAAATTAAAGTATGATCAGGAAATGAAAAATCATTAATGACCCAACCCTATAAACCTGCATGTAATCATTTCCTGGAGGCTGGAAAAATGAAGGGAACTTACATTATCCACTTTGGGCTGGAGTGGTGTGTAATGGTGTTTATATCAAAGAGTGATTAAGTTAACTAATTTTATATATTTCGAAATTCTGCAACAGGCAATCGATGTCAAGGGTGTCGACTAGCTTTATATAAAACATCTGCTACAAATAAAATTAATTTTCTCCAATTAAGGCGGGGTTCAGGGAACCGTTTCGACAGCAATCTCACCTCTGATGTAGCGCGTGTACTTGCATCCGCGGTACAACCTGTACACGGGGAAACTACCAGCAACGGGCGGGCTGTTCGGCCGGCCGGTGTCCGGTCGCGGGGAGATATCTATGGTGGACACCATGTTCCAGCCTCTGCCGTTCCCCTGGTCGTTGCCGTTGTTGGCCACTGTGGTCGGCCAGCAGCACTCCTTGAAGCTATACGAGAAGGTTGAAAACGGGGAGATCATTTTGGTTAATTTCTATCCTCAAGGACTGTTAACTGTTCGTCTCTGAAACTACGAATCGGCATTCAATGCATCACTAGATATTAATAATGTACTTTAAGTGTGCACTAAATGTATCAGTCACGAAAAGAAAACTAAAGAATGTAAATTTAAGTGCAATTATTTTCATGGTGTGAAAGACGTTTTAATGACGTGACAGACGTTACAGCTTAATAAAAAAAGATGCAAAATCGTCGATGGCTGTATAGAAATTGGAAAATATTATCGACAAGAATGATTTCTCTAGACAAGAATGATTTCTCTAGACAAGAATGATTTCTCTAGACAAGAATGATTTCTCTAGACAAGAATGATTTCTCTCTTACTTGACATCAACTCTAGTTTGCCCTGGCTCCAGTGTGTAAGGCATGATGAAGTAGCCAGCGGACCAGTCCATAGCATCATCGTAGTCCGTGCATATGTATTTGGCCCACGAGATCCACTGGCCGTCTACCCGGAACGAACCCTCTGTGTTCAGCACCGATCGGTCTTCGATAGCCTGGTCAGTACACTGATTGTGGAGATAGCCGTTCGTGTAATGGTGTCTGAAGTTCAGACGGTAGAATACATTCACCTGAAAAGAAAGACGAAAGCGTGACTTTGAAAAATTTTGACCATATACTATAGAAGTTTAATTCGGTGTAGTTCTGTTTTCAGTCTAAACAAATGTATCACAAGCGAGCGTTTTTTTTTTATAACCAAATCGACATTTACTTACGTTGTTTGGGTTGTTCTCGTCTGCTTTCCATGTTATGGAACCTCCTTTGTAATGACCAACATTCCTGTTAGCCAAGAGCTCAATGAATGAGCTTGCTATGCAGATTGAAAAAAGCAAAACAGCCCTCATGATGCTGGCTTTGCAACAGCCGCCAAAAACTTGAAGTTGCTTTCCACAAATAATACAAGTCGCTCTCAGTGTATACGGTACCACGAATCTTCACCCACTGTTGCTGTTGTTCTTTGGTGCCTATCGCTTGTTGTGACCTAACCTACTGCTGACAGACTTTATATATCCTTTCCAGTGACCCACTTCAGACCACCTGCCCAGCAAAAGTTACGATCACAGCCACCGGAAGGCTGTTTATTATTTACGTAGGTGTTGGGCCCGCCAAAAAACATATCACTTTTCTTTCCCCTAGATTTCTGTTAGTCTGTCTGTTGTCAAGGCCGCATGCAACCGCATTCCATAGTAACTGACGTGGGAGAACTAGTAGATCATGAATATCGAATAAGTTTCGAGGAACCAACTGGGGCACAAGACGGCAGATGACGCGACGGAAGTTGACGCGACCGTAAGCAAGCAGCCAATTGCTTAACTCTAAATCCATGACGTAGCGGGATGTCTGCTGCATAATGCATAACTAGAACTCAGCAAGGAGCCAACCACAAGCCGTCCAGACAAGTGGGCTCGTAGCTTCCAGATCCCATTCACAAAAAATGCTACGAAACCACTGTCACGTGCAAGGACGGAAAGTCCTTATAAGGTACTGGCAACTTTCCAAAAATAAGTTTCCAGGCATCTGGAAAAATAATCCGCGGGGTCAGAAAGGTTGACAACCTAGTGTGATGAGTTACTGCTCGAGACTGCGTCTTGGCAGTTTCAGTCAAGGGCATGTAAACGTCGTGCGTTTACCCCACTGGGCCAATTTAAACACCTGAATCACTGCTTCAACCCTTCAAGGTGGGACGTTCAGAGAACAGAAGCTGCTGCAAAGAATGAAAGCCTTTATGGTACACATACTTTCTGCAAGTACTACTTGAAGGTTTTTTAGAATCTTTGCAAGCAAGATTCTTCTCAGTCAATATTTATTTTCATGACGAACACTTCCTGGTGCTGAGGCTAAACAAGTTAATTGTGAGATTATTTGCATTGAAAGCCGCACGTGTTTGCATGTGTATACACGAACCATCAGCCTTGGTTGAACTCACAACACAAGTAAAACTAATTTTTTTTCCATCGCTTGTCTTTCGTAATGACGGGAAGGTACATGAGTGTTTCCAAGACCTTTTTGGCTCATTAATTTTGTTTTAAGAGAAAAGGGTTAGCGTTTTTTATAAGTAATTAATTTTGTGAAATCGGACGTTTTTAAATATTGAAATGGTATATATTTTACGAAACGTTTCTTTTAGTTAGCATGTCTTGAATATTTCTCGGTCAACGGGAGCCCTGCTTATTGAGAATAGATGTGAAGATTATGTGTCAATGGGAACCACGAGTAACCATTAGATAGCAATATAGGAGCGCCACGTATGCTTCAACTTACCACACAACATTTTAATCTGAACTTGAAGAAAATGAGAAATTACGACCGCACAATCGTGTTGACAATTTCACCCAAAACATATGCGCCGAAATCTTCGCCTGGTTCTGACAGATATCTGTATCACCATTATACGCTGTTTCAAAGAAGCTTAAAAGTCAAGTTTGGATTTGCTTTGACGACGTGTCCGGAGGAGACCTCGAGGCAGGTCAAGCTGTGGTCAACGGGACAGACCACTAAACATTCCAATGACCGAACGACTGATGCCCCGTTAGCCTCAAAATACAAGCCGGACGGCGCCGTGCGTTGCCGCAAACATAAAAGCAAGGCTGTGACCATCAGTTCGTTGGGAAAGTAATTATTATGACACCCGTACGGACAGACTTATCATAACCAATTAGCCGACCTATGAAACTAATATGGAGGAAAACCTTTGTCTCATATGATGCCCTCTAATGGTCTTCGAATTTGAAATTGAAAACTGCAACCAACCCAGACGTAGGCGTACATGTAGAGAGGGCGTGTAGTGTTCGTTCGTGTACAGTGTATTACTGTCCACAGCCCACCCGGTGATTGTCTTGTGTATTTCCGGCTTTCGTCTCCCAAACTGAGTTATTAAATAGGCGACGTTCTCATTAAATCTTGTACAGGGTTACGTGAGGTTATCCACTATAACTAATCATGAACAAATTGACAGGACAAAATAAGAAAGCAATGTGCTTTAAAAAGGGTTTCTACTTTGATCATTTATAGAGGCTTTACGTGATAGCCATCTCGCAGGGAAGTTCTTTTCTTCCACAGGGAAACCTCCTTTATGCATACCCTGTGGAACAGAAACACTGGTCTGCAAGATGGCAGCCATGCAAACCCTCTATTGAGGCAGTCTGTTACTAAATTTCTTCCATATAGCTACATGAAAAGATACTATGATCAATAAGATTCTAAACGGCAATATCGTCACAACGGCAATTTAATAAAGTTTCTTTGGAAGGTAAAAGAGAACATGTGAAAAAATCCAACGAGACGAAAACATTTCTTAAGTTTTTATATGCATAAACCTATTTATGCCCACAGCTTTTCTCAAAGATGTTAACACAAGAGACTAAACAAGAATAAAATATTTTCTTGAGGGCCGGGTTTCCAGTAACGTGACGTAATACACAACCATACTCCATATGATACAAAATCAAACAAAACAAACTAGAGGAAGAAGAGACGCCCGTCTCAAATTAATGAAAACAGTAAGGGAGGAGGCAAAATCTTAACGCCCCAAACAAACATAAACCCACTAAAAGTCTAGACGCCGCCTCTGTGGGGAGTTCGACACGCGGTCAAGCCGTTGAATTTCTTGTGTTCCTTTCACTATGTGTTAGCGTCTTATCTTAAAACAATACTTTGTTCTGTCAAGACAGACATTTTTAATCACCTGATGCCCGCGACACCAGGATATCGTTGCAAATACAGAAACCGCTAAACAAACACTTCCGAAGGCAATAGTTTCCTTTAGATTATTGCGGACGGTAGTAGTGGAACATTATGTGTATACTTTCCTCTGAAAAACAGATTAAAGCAAGCCCAGGAATTCAAGCTTAGGATCGGTCGAGCCTCCCCTCGAAATCCCATTCAAAATCTGTGCTTCCAAGGACAGGTTCATATTCCCTGCCCACAAAATGATTGTAACCGCTACCTGCGCCCCGAAACTGGACCATCTTGCGAACCGAATGTTTCCTTTTAGCGAAACGATGGCGGGCGCAAGGAAAGAGTGGCACCGTGTTTCCGCGACCAAGCCGTACCGGCGTTCCGCGCGCCAACACGGATATCCTAAAGAAACCCCGACGTGGTCATATAACTGACCTACTTTCGTTCACCGGACTTACTCTAGAGGAAAAAATGTGGTCGAACAGGACGCTGTCGTATCCCCATGAGGGGGATGTTAATAACTTTCTATCCGATTTTGTCCTTGCACTTTTCCCTGCTCGTCCTCCAGATTGTTGAGCCGACACTGATTTTTTTCACTCGGTTTTCTCTCACGTCTGACATTAATTGTATATTTTGCTTGGGGTTACAGGATTTGGCTGGTGTAGTGGGGGTTGAGGGTTTAAAATGATTCTTTGAGATGCCTTTCCATTTTGGTATCACTTTTCTGAGGTCGCTAAAGGTTTCCTTGGCGAAACACCATCATAGGCCGCGTCAGAATTTCTTGGCTGCGGCCGTAAGAAAAACTAAGCACGAGTCTACTGTGGTGGCCGGCCGCAAGCAGTTCCCATAGAACTGTGTGTAATTTAAAGCCGCTACTAATTGGCAATGTCAGAGCTGTGACGATCCTCGCTCCAAAGAACAGCAAACTGCTGCAATAAATCTCTTGCCTCTGTGGTCCGAGTTTGCCATCTGAGCCAAAACCTAGGCCTATATAGCTTCAAAGCTGAAATTAATGGCGCTGTTAATTACTTGACGATTATTCACTAGCTGCCTTTTAACATCGTGTTCTCCGGGTTCAGTTTATATGGTTTGCACAGTTCATCTGGGAAAGTGTCAGACTATTAATAGTTGCAGTGCTCTTCCGCACTTTCAGAAACATCCATCTTGCTATCAGGCAAAAGTGATTAAACTTTTAAGCCATCGCTGTGAATGATTCCTTTTGCATATTAGGCCTATATTCAGCGAAATATTCCACGGGGTCCGTGATGGGGAACATATCCCTCGGTTGAAAGTTGGATCGCCCCCGTGTTCCTAATCCCACTTGCCGCCCTCTTTCTTTGGATCAAAATGAAGAATATTTCGGTTGTGGTATAAATCTGACGAGATGTGGCAGTCAATCACAGTCAACTCATCGTGTGATGATTTAATCCGAAACTGGTGTTTTCCCCCGAACCATCTCTGAAGTCTGTGCGTCAAGAATGTACGGCAGTTTTGAAATTGTGCCGATTCTGGATGTTCCTATTACTGGGGAGAAGACTAGTGGGTGTTGCTATAGGCAGGGTGGGGGTGGGGGGTTGAATCTGTGTTCTTTTCTCCCCTGGCATACACATGGAACTCATCTATGCCGGCATGACTTTATTCAACCCTGAAGGACTATATAGAGGCAGGGGCGTAATCCGCCGCTGTGTATATTTTCTCCAATATCGTCACAATGTTTGTTTTAATCGAGTCGCACATTTGACACTAATAGGCCTATGTCTGACAGTCTTATTGAGACCAGTTGTTATGGAAGTCGGACAAACCTGTCTCATCGTGCAAACTGTCACTTTTTTGAGACACATTGGCTGAAAACTTTGAATTTTTAAGTATATAACTTTACGTGCATGCCAAGTTTTAAAAAGATTGGTCACAGGGACAACCGAGATCTTTGGGGAGGAATCCGCCGCAGAGGGTCCAACGTGTGGTGTTAACACCCTTGGTATCTATACGGGGCAACACTACAGTGATGCTTCCTTTACTTTTTCACCACAGTTTTTGTCAATTCTGCAGTGTTCAAAAGAATACATGTACGCCTATTTGCGTGCTGGCCGCTGTCTAGTGCGTCTCTTCGTTTACAGTTTTGTCTATTTGTCTATCTGCCCTTTTAAAAGTAGATAAATTACCATCGCAATTCATGTATCACTTGCACTATACATGACTGATAACAAGAAACCGCCCAAGCGACTGAACAGGGCGGATTCCCCCCCCCCCTTTCTGTACGTCTCTAGAGAAAGCAGGTATTTGTCACAGGAAGAGGGGCCAGTGTGAGCCAGACGCTACGGTGTGGAGTGGAAATGCACGAATGCGTAACCATAAACGACAGGATATATCTATTTGTCATTACCATTTGACATTCCGGGAACTTCTTTGAGGAATTCAGACTTCTAGACTTCTGTCCTGTGACACTTTAGATGAGTTTCGGATGGGGGGGGGGTGGTGACCCGATTCATTATAGCAACGGACTTCCCTTAAAAGACCCAAATGAGAAAAATTTCTTACATACGATTTATGCAACGTAATATTCTTGTCTATTGAAATCTATTTGATATTCATGTGGGTTAAACGTACTGAAAGGTGCCTTTTTGAATAGCTGAAGGCATTGTTGCTGTGCTGTTAATCAGGCAATCAAGACACCGTTCATTTTATTGGTTTCTCAGTTGAAAATTGCGAAAGCAAAATCTGCTTTTTGGAGACATTTCTGATTAAAGGTTGCTCATTAGTTTATTGCAAGCACATACACAGCAATGGATAAGCAAGAAAATGCAACTTAGGCCGGTAGAAGTATTCATTAGCAAAAAACAAAATGGCGCCCCTATACCCTTAAAAAGAGCACATAATAATTGGAAATAAGGATACTTGGGACACAAAGCTGCATTTTCAAGGGACTGTATAAATAGCCATTGCATGGATCCTTTAATATTTCGGAGAATAGTCTTTTTGCATCACACTTGAAAAAAGCATCTTTTGGGGATCTTACTTTATCCAAATAACCCATAAAACAAAACAAAACTTGACATGTCACTGGCCTGTTACACTTTGCCGGTACCAGCTCGTTCATTCTCTCGTTTCCGTCAGGAGGTTGTGCCGAGACTGCGGCTAAACTGACCGCGCTGGGACAGTTATACAAACATGAGAGCTTCGATTGAGTCTGGATTCCGCGGTCAGCAACCCTCGGACAACGGCTCCTGGCTTAGTGTCGTGAAATCAAGTCGTGCATGCCTAAACAGAACCATCGCGCGAGGTTTGTATAGCAGTTTCCCTCCATAAATACGGTCCCCGCAACCCATTTGGACATACAAGAAAGGATTTCCTGAGTATACGTCTATATAAGATATTTTAGGTCTATCAGACGTTCGGGGGGGGGTTGTCCTAGTCTTGGCCCAAGACGTCAGTGATCGATAGTTGTTTTATTTCTGTTGAAGAGCGCCCTCGCACAACTAGTTTTTACTTACTCTCGAGCTGACGCACAGTCTAATTATGAGTCATTAGGGGGCGCACTATGCACGGTGTCCGCTATCAAGCACTAACGTCTTGAAACTAAGACTAGGGTTGTCCATAAAGTACACACGCAGGGGAAAGGAGTACACCAACTTGATCTGACCAACGCCACCAGGCTGAAATTTAAAGTGTACACATGCGGGTAGAGAGCCCCCCATACTTGGTATGCATGAGATCAATCCTGTCTATCGACAGGGCATAATAGCATTGTCGTCGAGTATCGCAATATCTTCAAAAAGGGATTTCTTTTGTCTCTGCTATCCCGCCATTTCAGAGTTGAGGCAGTTATACGATCCCTCTCGCAGCTAACCAAGTGGGGTTGTGCATTTACGGGTAGTTTAAACGATTGGAGTTTAAACGAAGGAAGAAATACGTCAAACAAATTAAAAAACCTTGTGTGTACCGTCCACTTACAATTTGGTGCCATTTGACATACTCATGAAAATGGCCTCAACCTTCAGCCATTTTTTTTCTAGTCCAAAGTAATGGTAACTTGGGCTTTACGCGTGGACAGCAGCAGAGAAAAATTGACATAAAATTCTGGAGCATTTTTTAGGAATGTTGGTTCCAAATTCACATGGTCAGTCTTGAGCAATCTAAGCGGCAAACTCGAGGCAGAACTTTTCTTGAGGAGAAGGTGAGACGAGGCCTAACATTTGTTTTCAAATTGACCCCGATATTTTCGGCCTTGAGTGACTCCGGGATCATAAAACGTCGCCCCTGTCGACGAAAATACTCACAATCGAGGCTATCAAAGTTACCAGACTACGTGATCTCGCTGGGCGTTATTGTAACCAATCGGAAATAAATTCATTCAGGCAGCACAGTCACTGACAAAAATGATCGAGTCGAAGGTTGTTCACGTCAGGGGCGTACACGTACACGACACAAGTGGGACGCTAGCGCTGATGTGGTTACGCCACGTGACAGCCACCCGCCGAGGTTGTCTGATTTGTGGCCAAGATCAGTGGTCGATGTCGCCGCACGATTCCAGATGATTAATAAATTTCTCTGTTACTTTCATAGCATAAGTTGCCTACTTTCCGTGGTTTGAAGACTTGCAAGTCCGTAGGCAACATGTTGCCCTGTATGTTGCCCTGTATGTTGCCCTGTATGTTACCCTGTAGGGGGCACGTACACTGCAATTTGTTCGAAGCAGCCCCCTTAAAGATTTCTCACCCTCCTCTGTTCCGTGAGACTTTCATATAATTGACAAACAATATTCCAAAGTAATGACGACATTACATTAGATATGCGTTCATTATGGGAAACTTTTTGTCAAGAAAATTGGTGGTAGCTTAATTAATTCACGAGCATGAAGAGAACATGCTAGATATGAAGTGTGTAATAAATCAATTCAAATTTGTTCATTTCTGTATCATTAATGCTGTGTCCCCCGTAGTTATACACGTATATGCATTTCTACTTCATGGTGAATTGGAAATTGTAAGTATTTAGTTCTTTCAAATGATCATTTCATACCAATGCGATTACATTTTCTAACGAATGCCCTGTTTACCAATTTTCTATCGCTGGGCAAAGATACAAATAAATGACCCCAAAGAACTCTGCATTCGTGATGCATCATACATTTCCATTACCTATGAGAAGTTACGGCAGACCGATTCATCGCACCGTAATGACACTATTAGTCCCCATAAATAGTTTATGACAGCGATTAATGTGAACCCACACCTACATTTTGGAAACAGTTGCTGATAGAAAAATGCTTCGTTTGCTCAAAAAGCGAAGAGCAAGTTGATTGATTACACATAAATTTTCACGAAATTGAAACAAAACAAAGCACATGCTGTTTGTTGAACACACAATACAAAGTCACAGGCGCGTATGCTCAAGGCGCTTAAGTTCTACACCATATAGCGTCAAGAATGAAGTAAACTATTCGGTCAAGAGCGTGGGCTTAGGTCTAAATCTGCTGGAATCTGATAAGATAAGTCGCCAAGTAAACAAACTCTGACTTGGAGATATAAAGGAATTATCATGATTCATTATTTCTAGGTATAGGCTTGCAATGTGCACATGGTGATGGAATATGGGTGTGTGAAAGGTGAAGTTAGGTATATACTCGGTCGGAATCTCACCATGTGTAGTTCATGTCTGGGATTATTTGAGATGGCCAATGAAGCAGAGTTTATGTGCAGCATTTTACTCAAGGAATCTCCTTCTATCGACTTCTCCCCCCCTTTTTGTTCTAAACTTACGCAAACCGGTTCACATTTGCAGTTAGACATAGTGAAAAATTAACTCCTGGCAGGAACTTTAAAGACAACAAAGACAAGATGTTAGATCATTCCGGCGCTTAAAATCACGATGCTTGGCTGCACATGCGCACAGCGGTTTATGACTGACCAGCTCAGTAATAAAATCCAGTTCGACACAACATCTGGAACTTCAAGCAGAATCAAGAATTCATTTCCCAAGCAGACTCAAACCTCAAAGCTCATGACGGAAGGTTGTTATAAAAACATTAAACAGCACTTTATCACCCGTATTTAATTACACGTTGGGCTTAATCACCATTATTTTAATCTGTCCTCGCTCAGTCGTATTGCCTCTCAAGTTCTCGTGTCAAACTGCTTTCAAAAGTGCAATCTCACTTTATGTCAGCACTCAACGTGAGAAGGCGGAAGACAACCTAATTTTTCCGAGTGATGAAGCGGATCCAATTATTTCTACCCCTTGGTTGTCAGACTGTGGTTAAAAGGTAAACAGACTTGTGTGTATACTGTCACTTTCAGGGGGACTTACTGACCGTGGCCGGGGGTCTTCAGGTGGTAAACCTTTGTTTGAGTCATCTTGGAGAAATCACAAACAACTTGCGAAAACAAGCAGCTAGAAGGGGCGTCTTGTGGGCCGGGGCCTCTGTAGGTGGATAGAACCACAGAGAATAACAAAAAGTCAACAGAAAGTCTGTGACAAACATCAGTTGACTGAAAAAAGGAAGCCCCTTAAAATTCCTGAGTGTTGCTTCAGAATATAAAAATTCTTTAAATACATTTTCAGCTGCAGGTCTATGTATTTTTTATTTTTAGAATTACATAATCCATTTTCTTTATCTTCATGTTAACAACAGTTCCACACTCTAATGCCCTCAAACTCGAGGAAAGCAATTTGATTCTTATGCCCAAGACAGAAGAGCGTGAATATCGAGCAGAGAGAGAGCTTAAATGGTCTCATTTAATGATAACAGACAACGGGAAGAGCCACTGCAAAGCTCGTTTTTACTTTTGGGACCGTTTATCAGCCCGGTTCCCGTTCTATTTAAGTGTAATGAATCAAATCGACTCAATCAATCCTGGACTTTATGTAATCATTGAACCATTAGGATCATATTTATAAATCGTGGTTAAAAGTCCCAAAACTAAAATTGTATGGTTATTGAGTTGACTTTCCCGTTGATGAACAAGGCACCAAGTTACTCCTTTTTCAACGACCGTCACGTTTTTAACCGATTTGATTCAACATTACAAAATAATGGCAAGGCCAAGTATGCTTGAACCAACAATCCTAACAACTTTAAAGTTCAAGTTTTGATGTATATGTATATATATGTGTGTGTGTTAATCGTGTTTAAAGTAATATGGGTAGCACTAATTAACCTAATCGATATATCTACGCCCTTAGACGAAATAAGAACTAAACCTGAAGGTTTGAAATTGAAGGAAGTGTTTTTAAAACTCTCTCTACAAAGTGATCAAACTGACAACCAGGAAAGCTAGCTCAATTGCATCAATACTAGGCTGAATAAAGACCCTGCAGTGGCATTTAACTAGAATTAAATTCACTCAAAACTAACTCGAATTTGCATCTCTCCTACACAAAGACCAAGCAACAGTTTCCAAAGCACAGTAACTGAAAAGAGGGATATTTCCTCCCACGTTTTCTGATGAACTGCCATGATAAAACCACAGCTATTTTTCATATCCATTCAGAACTTGTTTGTAATTGGTTGACAGGCATTAAATCCCGTAGGATCAACAACAGCTCACCAAATTATGACCTGAAACTAACCGCTGATTAGTTGCTATGACAGGTGTGCGTGGGTGATCGACCAAATTAGAATGTGCAATGCGGCAGGCGGGTAAAATCCCTGAAGGCGTTTGGCTAAAGGTTTCTTGAATTAAACGTTGTTGTAGGTCTGTTTTATGCTGGGTGAACTTCAAGATACTGAGACGGTTCTGCCACTTGCTAAACACTTGGGCTAAGCGAGAAAGTAATTGTGATCATTTACAAGCTATGCGTGTACTTTCAGTACCCATTCCACAAAACTTTTACAACCGCCCCACATATTTCAGACAGAAAAAAAAGGTAAAATCCTCGGAACAGCGTATAAACGGCGCCCTCTCTTGATTCCTTTCGACTATGCGCTAAGCATTGTTGACCGGATCTGGACGGAGGTCATAGTCGAAATGTACATGTACGTGTGCATGCATTGCTATGCACGTGTGCTGCTGCCGTGATGAAAAACATGACAATGAAGGATTCGTAGATTTAAGGTAGGATTTCACTTCTGCACATGAACAGGATTTAAAAATTGACGTAACAAAATAACATAAGTATATCTACGATGTTTACTGTGGTTTGTCGTCCACCACGCCCCCATCCCACGAACGTTCACGGGACTTGGGACCGGGAGCACCGCACCGCGAACTGGAAGCGTAATTTTTTTTCCTACAGGAAGGTTAGGGGTAATTGTCATAATACGGGCGTGGTTAACTGCAAGCTAGCTCGATCAGGTTAGTGGACCCTTAGAAACTTAAGTGCTAATGTAAATGTCCGGCTTTACTTTCCTATTATAAAAACATCCTCCAAAATGCTCCAACCAACTTATTTTTCACCAAGAAAAAAATTACTACATCATGATGAGGAGTTCAAGCTGAACCCTCGGCTTGTTTGTTTCAAAAAGTGTAACATGTATAACGCTCTTCTAACAGCACTACCATGCAAGTCGGCCAGAAAGGCAAGTTTGTTGTGTCTTATACTTAAACGTTCTTTAACCCCATATATGATAATTGCCCCCAACTTTCCTAGATGAAAAACGCATGCGCAACGGTTAAGATACGCCCATTTTACTATAATTACCCCTAACGTTCCTAGGAACAATTATTAGGCGAACCGGACTGCCGTGGGGTATCCAAATCATACATATGATGATCTTTCTCCACACCACAGGCGCATAATCATGTCATGGACATGGTGTTCAAATATGTCAAAGCAAAGCAAACTAAGAAGGTCATGCTTGTGTGCCTTCTCACACAGTTGCTGTATGCTGTTGGGCAGTCGGAGCTCAGCAGGAACTGCAAAATGCTCTAGTACTAGGCTAGTCTGAATAATCTTGGACCCTTCAAATCACCTTTTTAAAACATTTGGACATTGTTGGACGATCCCCGACCCCGACAATGTCCAAATGTTTGAAAATGTTTGACTTGGACTAGTACTAGGCCGGCTAGGCCAACTGACTAGTCACATTACTTCAATCTAGTTTCTAGAATTCTCTTTTTCAAGCAAGTCTTTATCAAAAAAGACGGGTAACGCCTAAGTTACATACATGTACATAATCCACCGCTCTCTTGTAGTGACTGATCAATAAACATACCGGTAAGCCCAGAAACAGGTCAACGTTTGTCGAGTCACGCCTTGGACAACTCATACCTTCACAGAAATCAGAGCCTGCTCAGAGCTTACTATTATTGCAATCAACTTGAACAATAATTTGGTTTCTTAGTCGTGTTCATGACCTGATTTGCCGTTTGGCTGCACTCCCTTCCCTACATGCTGGTATGGTGACATAGACGTGTCGATGGTCAGGTACCTGGCACTGGTCAACATGGCTGGCTGTTGTTGCATGCAATCTTCACTGGACTCTTCACCATTGCATTGAATGGCAGTGTGCCTACTTTTTGAAATTCTGTATCAGTGGAGTGATGTCATGTTTTCATTTACTTCAAAGTTTCTAAAGTTTCTAAAGTAATAATAGTTGTAACTTGTCCAAGCAAGAATTAAAAAGAAAATAAGGCAATACCCCCCCCACCCCAAATGAGTCCAGAAACATTTCCAAATGAAATCAAGACATAGCAAGTTTTATTAAGTACACCCCCCCAATAAAAAACTTTTAATGGAAAAAAGAAGACAACGGACGATTTACAGATAAAGGTACAGCCAAAAACTCCTGGTTGGAAGACATTATTTACAGTCTCTCACACCAGTGGCTGTGTACTACATTGTACGTACGGATGGTGTGCCCTGCTTGTGCCAGATTGGCATCACGGCCTCTCAGTGGTTGAGTCAAATTGGTAAACGGTCAGGTTGTTCAACATCCATCAGGTAAACAAACGGTGCTAATGCCCACAGCAGGCACTATGCAGAAGATCTCTGGGGGGGGGGAGGTTATGAAGATGTTTCCTTGATGTGTTTGTCAAATCTAATCCTTAAACATGCTGAAAAGGAAAGGCATGAAAGTTACATTTGAATTGTGAACATGAAGGTACGAGTGGTCTTAACTTGAAGTACCGGGGTATGAGTCGTCCAAGGTACGACTTGACTCGAAAGCATAAGCCCAGGTGTTTACTGTCAAAATTGTAGGCCTACAAACACAATGGTAAAGTCCCTTTAGTGATATATTGATGCTTAAGATGTCAGTCACCAGGTCACGGTACAGTCACCTGATGAAAACATAATTCCTCCCTCCACCTCTGAAAATGGCCGAGCTGATATTGAAGTTGGCCTTTGACCCAACGTACATGTATGTGACCCAGTACTTTGTAATCAGGAATAAGTCGCTGAGGCCATTTTACGAAAAAAATTGATGAGGCAGATTGTGTTTATTTTGGAAGTGTACAATGTATGTACGAAAGGTTACCATCAACACACTTGTAATGTGTACCATTTGAAAGCTGGTGAAATTCCCTTTCTGAGCATGCATACATGTATCTCAAAAAGTCAATTTGCAATTTATTCCTGATTTCACATATGCACACAAACCCACCAGAGGCATGTGCACTGTGTAAGCATACCAAGTGTTTGGTAAGACCCGTAAAGTGGGCCCTAATGTGTACTCTATCAATGGAGGAGTAGACTGTACAGAGGTGTGTCTAGTGCTTGGTGTGATTGGTACCCTGTGGGCAATGAAAGGATGGTGATTAAAACCTCCCATTTATCATGAAACAGTCAGTCACCTGGTCAAAAAACAACTGTTCCCAAGTTTTAGAGATACATGTATATAGATCTACCAAAATGGCTTTTTGGGGGAAGAATTGATTGAGAATCGAGAATTCTAAACTAAAGTGATTCCTGTGTCGAAGCATTTTGCAATTTCTACAGAGTTTCGACCTCTCAGACAGTACTTGTAAATGTGCTGTAAGGTACAGAGGGATGCCTTTTAGTTTCTGGAAGTACATGAAGCATACCTTCATGGGTGATTAAAAAAAATCATGCTTATCAAATGCTTTTTAATGTCTTACCTTAATGTCCTTTCATGGCACGTACATGTACATGTAGGACGTGGCTTACATTATTTGGACTTCAACCTTTGTGTCAACATCATCTTGAAAACTGCTAATAAGAAGTTAATACATGTAATACAAACATGAAAGTCATGAAGTTGTGAGACAAGTGCTCATTTTGTAATGCTAGAAATCACTTTCTTGTATTTTTTGTTTTTTGTAGGTTTTTCTGTCCAGAGAAAATGACGAACGTCAATCATATTTTTAAGATCCTGTTTGCCTTGCTGTCTGCTGCTGTTGTTCTGTTCATCATTAGTAAGTCCAGTCAGTGCTGTCATTAAAGGGGTCAGGCGATGAAGTTTTCCTAGATAAAAGTTTTGTTTAACTTTATGCTCTGTAGCAGAAAAAAGTTAATGTTCTGCTGGGTTCATTTGGAAAAGTGCACTTTTCAAACAAGTAAAAGTTGTCCTAATCTTTTCTGGACAACAGAGGGCACTGTTGCTGTGATGTCACGTAGGGAAGATACTGCTCAGTTTTTAGGCTTTTCTGTTCAAGCTGTGAACCTGAAATTTGATCTTTGAAATCATTTCTGAGAAAGGTTTGTTCGTCGGGTTATTGCCATGTACTCGACCAACAATGAAACACCATAGAAAATGAACGTTTGAACAGCAAAGTATTGAAAATTCCAGCATAAATTTTGTGCATAAATCATGCTACATTGAAATTTACCCCGGAATTACATCACAGTATTTTTCACGAGTAATTATAATCAAATCCTCAACTGTAGTTGATAAACTCAGGTTTGTCTCAAATTTGATGTCTACTTTTTAAAACTTTCTGGTTTTGTGATTTAAAACTGTATTGGTTTTTTAAACTAAATTCTCAAAATTTGAATTCTTGGTTTCAGAATTCTTGATTACAACTTACTTAAATCTCAACTAGAATGCTCCCTGAAACAATCCTTATGACTGATGTTTACTTCCTTTCGCAGTTTATTCACAAAATAGAAGCACACCTCTTACACCAGCCCGTAATGACGCAGAGACTACTGGGCAGAATGTACCACTCACGAATTATGGACCACTGTCCAATTGCAGTCTGGCCGACATCAAGAAGAGGCCAGGTGTGGTCATGCTGACCACTGCAAACCTGGCCTTTGTGGACTTTGTGCTCAACATGCTGGCAAGTGTCAGACGGGCGGGAGTATGCATCAACACTACGGTCATTGCGGAGGACCAGACAGCTTACAAGGTGTTGCACAAATACGCCATGGGGGACCCAGCAGTGCATGTGCGGAAGACGACGTCAGGAGAGATGGACGCGATAGAGCACTCACGCCATACTGTAACCCAGTACTACGGGATTATGAATAAACGCCAGGCATACATTTTGGCTTTGTTGGAGCAAGGTCTTGAGATTTTGTTCACCAACTCTGACACATTTTGGTTCAGAAATCCGTTTCCTTATTTTGAAGGCAACTTTGACATGTTCATGAGGGGTACACGGAGCCACTACCCGACGAGACGAGTCAAAGAGACAAGATTCTGTTCCGGGTTCATATACCTGAAACCAACCAACGCGACCGTGAAGTTTATGAGGGAGTGGGTAAAGATCATGGACAGCAACAAGAAATGGGGGAACTACAAACCTGATCAGTCAGTGATGATCAGGTTGCTTCAGGCCGACAAGCCCAAGCATGTCAACGTCAAGATGCTGGACCCAAACCTATTCCCCTGGGGACCGGAATTTTTCAACCCTTCATGGCCGAGGAAAAACCACTCGACTGTGGTCATGCACGCTGCCAGCATTCACGGGCATGCCAACAAACTGACGAAGTTCCAGGAGTATGGCATTTGGTTGGTTGATGTCACAAATTTGGCCGAAGATCTCGGCAAAGTCGGACATATGTACGCTTTTGTGCTTTCATTAGTTTTTTTCCTGCTCTTCACTGCTGCTTTATGTCTAGGGTCCCATGCGGGGTATAAACTAGTTCCGTACTACAAATACTGACATTGTCTATAGTGGTGAAAATAAATCAAACTTATTTTACTATTCGGAATTAACCTCTGAGGAAGTCAGCACTGTAAATGTTAAACTTCTACACTTGACCACGCTTTACAAATGATTTATTTCAACATTAAATGTTCCAAGACGTTCATTTGTTTGTATATTTTGAAGCGATTTAATATGCTACTACAATGCCGAATTTGCAAGGCTTATTTGTGTGCAACAAAATCAAGAAGTACTTTCTTAAAGAAAGAATTAAATAAGTGTGTGTAAATTAACAGGGTGTGAGGTTTGAGGGAAAATGAAATATCAACCAAAAGGGTCACCAGAGGGCTTGAGCGCCCCACAGCAGCGTAGGATCTATGGTATACATTGTGTTTGCCTGAGGGCAACCATTCAAATGGCCATGCCTTGTGTTATCATTTTTTTTTACATAAAAACACCTAAATGGTCAACTCAGGAGTTTCCAGTTTTTGAAGGGGATTGTTTGAAAAAGCCTGAAATTAAGAAAGCGCTGATTAACATATCCTGAAAGCAGAAAAAAAACCTTACAATTCTCACGCAGCTTAGTACTTAAGGGAGACGGAGAAGCATAGCACTTTTGGCTGACAAAATGTCAACAGCAGAGGGAGTGGGTTACGTGCAGTTCAGAGGCATTGTCATGGAGACTGGCTATTTGTATGCCCGTTCCTCTTAGTTTTCTTTCCCTTTTTCTGAAATAATTTTTCTTTTTTTAATTTACCCCGGGAGGGGGGGAGCCACCCAAAGCCTATGTCTGCAGGAAGAAATGTTTCTAGAGAGCAGAACTGGTACCAGATTTCAGTAGATAATTACAAGGGGGAAGGTTTAAGATATCACTTGAGTGACCATCCTGCACATGCTCAAAACTGGTTCAGCATAGTATTCTTCCCTACTCTCTCTTATCCTTGATAGGATGACTTGCATGTAATACATTTATATATTCATCATACAGTGATGCAAAAGTACCATGTGCAATTGTATGTTTTGGGGGTACTTGTAGATAGCAAAACGTAATGCAGTGTTTCTTGTGTGCCGTTGACAGGGTACGCGATTTTTCAGTTGTGCTATTTTAATGACATATGAAGCAAGATATGGAACGGAGAGCACCCTCCCACCTTTGTCTTGGTCATTGTTTGATCAGAATCTCAGGAATTCTTTACAGACATCTGGAGGATATGTTAGGTAACTGTTCTCTAGGGTGTGTATAGGGATTTGACGTGTGGGGGTACCCCTCCGTCCCATATCTTGCTGGGAATAGTTAATAAAGGACCTTTTTGGTTTTATATTTTTATGTTAATGTGAATTTGTATACTGAACAAACTTGTATGTCATCTACTCCTAAGGCAGAAACTTCAGTGTTTCAGCTATTCTGGTACTAAAATTTCCCAGAAATTGGGACATTTTGATGTTTCTTTTGTGATTTGTCATGTAAGTGGAACAAATTGTGACAGTAGGCCAGTGAGTAAAGTATTTCAGTGAGAAAATTCTGGATTTACAATTTGAACAGAAGAGCCTCATAATGAACAATGTCTTCCTTTGATGACATCACAACACTGCCCTCTTTTGTTAGCAAAACATGGACAATTATGTTTTTAAAAAGTGCACTTTTCCATGAGTAACCAAAACGTTACTCGAAATGCACCTGTAAACTTCAGATCATGAACCTTGTAATAGCTATAACGCAACCAGGAATTAGCTGATCTTTGAAACAGCAAATAATTGAAATTTGCATAAATCTTTCTGAGACTGTCTCTTCATACATGTACATCCTAGGTTTAACAAGTAATATTTACCTTTACATAATGTCTGCATTTACATCCCACTAATGTACAAATTTAGTACATGTATAGGGTGTAGAAATCAAGAGTCTGTTCACTTAAATCCTTTTATATTCCAATGTTATTGCGCTGCAGTGCGTTAATAAATAATGACTTTTTTAAGCAACCATGCCGAAGACTTGTGAAACTTTGAAAAAAAAAAGAGTAAATGTAATTTTCTCTATTCAGTATTTGTTAATTGTTACGAAACGCATAGGCATACACCTAATTTACAGGGCTGTGGTCAAATCCAGCTGCAAAGGGATTCTTTTGGTTCAGTTCATGGTATAGCTCATGACTTGACATAAAACTGGATGACTTGAAATTCTAAAGATATGCAATACAAAACTGCTGCAAACTGCTTGCTGACTACAGTGACCTAAAATACAAATCTCAAAATACGGAGGGCCTGACGTTTCCATCCTAGCAAAATCTTTCTCAAAGGCAATGAAATTCTGATGAATTTGCAAGGCCACAAAAGCGCTTTAAATTAATAGACTTGCAGTCCAAACAGGCTGGAGGCTTGCTACCCTCAATATTTTCTTCGTATAGTGTTTGGTCCAGCACTAAGAATAACTTGTTTGATTTTGAAAAAATTCTGCATGTGGATTAATCCAAGTTGTGCAGTGTGAATTCAAATTGGTGAGAATTCCCCCGTATACGTACATCACTAATTTCCCTTGCAGTAGTTTAGCAGCCACCAGAAAGTGAAAATGTCCATAATACAAAGTTAGCAGGGAAAATGTTGAAAGGCAGGATGTCAAGTTATGTCTGGGTACCGATATGATACTCTTCCAAATTGCGAATCAAAGTTGACGCAACTTACCTGGCATGCCTGGAATTACAGTCTCTGTCAAAGTCCTCCAAAGCAGTTTTAAGGGTAATTTGGAGTGAATCCCAGAGGTAAAGC